TGCTGGGCGTACAGAGGAATGTTGCAGGAAACACAGGAAACAGAGCCTGGGGTCATTATGTGGGGACAATCTCTGCAGCATTCAGGACCCACCACTGAAGGGAGAAGAGGATGAAGGTGATTTCAGGCGAAAGGAGTGAAGGAAAAATATATGTAAAAAAAAAATATTTGCACCTGGGGGGTGTGAGTTGGGTTTTAAAGCAAACTAACGTGTACTCTCAAGCAGTACATATTTGGAGGATATCCCAGTTCAGAACTCCAAGTTGCTGCCATGTTTTGTCTCAAATAGGCAGGGGAAAATGGGTATATATTTCAGGTAATAATTACATTGTGATTAAAAGTAATAAAAGGGTGCAAAAGCTTTCAGCAGTCACTAGATTAGTGACTGATGATTACTTCAGTTATGAATATTGGTGCACTTTATAACGTATTATCACAACACAAAGAAAGCATTTTTTTGGCATACTTCCAAGATTCATGAACAACTTTTTTTTTTCCTGGAAAACTGACTGATACTCTGTCTTATCACAACAGACATATCGCAAACAGCCTTATTAATGGGACATGTAAAAATGTGTCACATGGGTCACCGTGTATCTTTTCTAACAAGCAGACATAAACACATTGAGAGTTTTCTAGCAGGCTGTCTATAAAATTGGGATAAGCCAGTGCCTAGGTAAACTGTGTACAAAGCATATTAACTACTAAACCATTACAACCAATCATTTTCAGTTCATATGTAGTCAGACCAGTTGAAGTTGAATTCTTCCAATCTGCGCATTGCTTTTTTGCTTATGCATTAAAAAGCAAGATTCCCTCTATAGCAATGACTATCACAAGGTGGGTACCAGCACCAACGGCAAGTCTGAATAGGGACTGCGTGTACAATGTGGCCAGTAAGCAAGAATTCTACTCAGTGCAATGTGTCAGTTGCTGAATAAAAGTTACTGCTGATCGTTGCGAGCCTTAGTACCTATTCTGCTAATCCCATCTATCTGCTGCCTGGCATAACTCTAAAGGTGCCTATACACTACTCGATTCTCGTACGAGAATCGGGCGAAATCCCGCGATCGTACGAGAATCGAGCAGTGTGAACTAAGACGTGCGACCATTTCTACTGTACGGTCGCACGTCTTTTGTCGAGCCAACATGCTTGAAAACCAGCCGAGAATCGTACGATTCTCGGCGGGTTTCTAGCCTGCTAGCCCGATAGCTGCGGAACGGGCTGGTGTGCGCACGCGCACACTGCCCGTTCTGCATTGCCGTCATCGGAAGCCCGCCCCTCAGCGGGGCGGGCTTCCGATGATCGCAAGTACGATCTGCCCGTCCAAGGTGGGCAGATCGTACGGGCTTTTAATGAGCATACAACCATCGCAAGACAAAAGTCTTGCGATGGTCGTAAGGTGTATGGGCACCTTTACTGAACAGTGTCTGCAAATAATTGAATTGTGCCAGAGCAAAGTCTTAAATGTCAGCCTATTTTGGATTACACTATTCCTATAGAATTTGGTTCTTTGATTCAGCTGTTTGTCAGTTGTCGTCAGTGGGGCATACCCAGTGGCTGTGTAGTATAAACATAATCTAGAGAAATCTTTACCTACTTGCATTGGCCATTGGTAAAACAACAAGAACTCTACACAGCAGAAAAACCCAAGTCTACTATTTCATACAAAGGCTTTTTACTTTAACCCATGGCAGTGAATCATGAGAAGTGACAGTAAGAAGTCAGAGTCCATGGACTGGGGAGTGAACTCACCTCAAACCAAGAGTATTTTTGGGAATATCTTTATGATTTAAAAAAGTCAGACATTCAGATATCAGATTGGACCCCAGAATCCTTATATAACCCAGAGAGTATACATTCCACAGTATCTTATTCATAACATTTCAATGACTACCATATGATTTTGCTATGTCGTTTTTTTTCTTTAACCATTTGTGTTACAAGACTTTACTTTCTTTGTTCTTCTCAATCACAACAAAGTTTATCATACGGCTGAAACATTCGAAAGACTTCTTACTTTCTCATTTGTGCTTTCAATTGTAGACATAAATATATTTTTAAAGAGACCATTAGGTACATTTATCACAGATATAAGATTCACGTTGCCACATTCCAACTGATGACAAACATCATTCATATTAAGTAATGGCAAGGCAAAGTGGTTCAGGATGTTGCTCCTCCTCACTAGAGTATTTTCACCACTCTGGAATTGGTGTACATTTTAGAACGTTTTGCAAAATAGAACATTGCTGCAAGTGCTTCATTAGCCACATAGCACTTATACCGTCATCTGGCATGGCTGGTGCAATATTACATAGAACTTCTTATATAACACAGCATACAAAGGTGGCTTCATGGGACCCTGCAAGGGAAAGGAGTCACCCTAAAACAGGTTATCAGGGCCAGTGCTGAGGGGACCAGCTGATTCTACAGGAACCTAAAACTTTTATACATCAAGGAGCAGCATCCAGTGTAAGAGATTTTATCAGCATCTGACATAGCTTAAAAATCTTTTGTCTTTAATATCACTTTAAAGTACAATTAAGAATGCTGAACTAATCTACCAATTACTTTTTTACTGAACATATCATGTGAGGAGCTGCAACTCAGATTTGTGAAAGGCTTCCTTTAACAAAAATCGAGCCACAATTCCCCGGGTGTCTGCATCATCTAATTGGTATATGGTTGCATATCAGAGATCGTGCTTACGTGCACTTTTCAATATGTGGCTTGTCAAGGCTCAGAATAAGGAGCAGTCACCGGGAATTAAGGCAGTCCCCTTCTTTGTTCTGTGTGTATGAATTGTTTTATTTGACCTCTTCCCATACATGAGCCGAGATGTATGTATTAAAATCAGAACAACGTAGCTAAGGGCCTGCCATAGGCTGCAATAATATACTGATGCAGAAATAAGAGCCTTAAAATGTGCTCCATCAAATTTTTCAACCGCAGTCCTCCTTTTTGTAATAGGTGCACTTTATTTGAACGTTTTGTCAAAGGTCAGCAGCCAAGCCCTCATCCGATTCGGCTGCTGATGCATGCAGAGAGAAGATACAGGACTGGTGTGTCTTTGATGTGGGCTGTGAGATAATGAGGGACAGAAGACTGTGCCAATCGGGGCTCTCTTGCGTCATGCAATGTTGTCAGTAAACATGCTTACAGGATGCAAGATTACAGCGATGACCTCATCAATGTGCTGCTGCGCCTTCACTTTTTCCTATATATACCCATGGGATGGGTTAGTGCCATTATGACTGCGGCTACAACAGAAAGGTCGGGGATATACTTGAAGCATATAAATGGAAATGACGAGATTGAGTTCTGCTTTAAACACAAACCTATCTAGCTGATGGGAACTCATTTATAAAGTATATGTAAACCCTAACAATGCATTGCTTTCATTTGCCCACTTTTGGTCTCATAAATTTACCAGTGAAAGTGTTTTGTTATATCTGTTTGATAAGAGCAAAAGAATACCTGTTGATCTTGCCAGAAATCAAGTAAGCTAAGAACATCCTGTGTTCTCTGTGCTGCAGTTTTTCAAGTTAGCATTGTTTAAGTTCTCAGGAAACGTAAAACTCCTATGAACACCATCTAGGTTCTCAGGGAGCATTAATCTCTGGAAACAACTTCTCATTGTTATGGAGATGAAGAGAGGGGGACATGCTCTGTAGTCCTAACGAAATTGTTTTCCAAGGGTGACAATGTCCTTGGTACAGTGAGTGACCATTGTCACCCTAGTAAAGAAAATGTATTACTGGAAGGAGCACCGTGTGAAAATAAAGTTAAACATGGTCAAAAAAAGAAATGCAGCAACCACATCTGGACTGGTAAGCTGCATTATATTATTTTTTTTGTTCATAGGTTTAGAAAGCCTTAAAGATTTATTAAATGGACCTCTAAAAGTCAAATTGGAGAAAAAAAGAAAAAGCAAGTACATGCGGACTGATATTGTGCGTTCCTCTTTATTGTGTCCCGTAACATATTTACTGATGCACACACTTTGATTCAGAATTAAAGGAGAACTATGGGGTCAGTGTTTTTCCCCATAGTTCTCCTTAGGGTAACGGGAGGACACAAACTAGCGTCCTCCCGTTACCCTAAGCTCAGTATACCGCGAGCTACAGCTCGCGGTATACTGAGACGCCGCATGCCGGAGCGGATCCCAACTTAGATGACGGGATCCGCCCAGCTTTGTGAGTGACAGCTGGCTCTGCCTATGTAAAGGCAGAGCCAGCTGTACCCGCCCCCTCCCCCGTCCGTTCCGCCAGTCAGCGCTGGCAGATCGGAGCGGGGAGAGGGGAATCCAGCCCCTCCCCCTGTCACGGCAGAGAGCCGTGAC